TATGTTGGAGGAAAAGCAGCCCTCTAGGCATTCAGGCAAAGACATTTCAAGCTATTTTGCTGCCCCAGCTGGTAGCTGCCAATCTTGCACCCTCTCTAAGTTTGTGTCTGGTGCAAGTGCCCCACTCACTCCCTCCTAGTTACACTACTGGTTAAGGTAAGTTTTATTGAGGTGTCAGCTCTGAGCAGACTTTTTTTAGTGTTGCTAAAACAGCTTATGTCTCTCCTGCCGGTTCACAGCGACACCTGGTGAGAGATGGATAGAAGTGCTCCAACCTAGTTTGAAATCCTGCCCAATTTCATAGAGATTTCATAGACATTAGGGCTGGAAGGGACCTTGGAAGATCATCGAGTCCAGCCCCCTGCACAAAGGGCAGGAAGTCAGCTGGGGTCATAGGATCCCAGAAAGATAAACATCTACATTTCTCTTGAAGGCGTTCAAAGTAGGTGCTTGAACAACCTCCGATGGCAGGCTGTTCCAAACCTTTGGGGCTCGGACAGTGAAGAAATTCTTCCTTATGTCCAGCCTGAAACGGTCTTGCAGTAGTTTATAACCATTCGACCTCATCATCCCTTGGGGCGCTCTGGTGAACAAACGTTCCCCCAGATACTGGTGAACACCCCTGATAAACTTATAGGTAGCCATCAGATCGTCCCTGATCCTGCGCTTTTCCAGGCTAAAGAGCCCCAGGGCTCTCAGTCTGTCGTCGTAATGTCTGTTTTCCTGACCTCTGATCATGCATGTGGCTCTCCTCTGCACTCTCTCAAGCTTCTCCACATCCTTTTTGAATTATGGAGCCCAAAACTGGATGCAGTACTCCAGCTGCAGCCTCACTAAGGCCGAGTACAATGGGAGAATGACGTCCTGGGATTTGCTTGAGAAGCATCTATGGATGCAAGCCAGGGTTTTGCTTGCTTTACTAGCTGCAGCATCACATTGAAGGCTCATATTTATCTTGTGGTCAATCATAACCCTCAAGTTCCTGTCATCTGTAGTGCTAACCAGCGTAGCACTGCCGAGCCTATGAGGATGCTGCAGGTTTTTCCTCCCAAGGTGGAGAAACTTGCATTTTTCAGTGTTAAACACCATCAGGTTCTCGTCCGCCCATTTCATGAGCCTGTCAAGGTCAGCCTGGATCGCCCTCCTGTCCTCAGGTGCGGATGCTTTACCCCAGAGTCTGGTATCATCGGCGAACTTGGCCAGTCTGCTTCTGAGTCTAATGTCCACATCATTAATGAAGATGTTGAACAATATGGGTCCAAGGACAGAGCCTTGGGGGACCCCACTGGTCACAGGGCACCACAGCAATTGACTTCCGTCAACCACCACCCTCTGGGTCTGACCCCGGAGCCAATTCCCTAGCCAGCAGATCGTGGTGTGGCTGAGGCCACAGTTGGCCAGTTTTCCCAAGAGGTGATCATGGGATAACAAATCGAAGGCTTTTTTGAAGTCAAGATATAGGACATCAATCTCTTCTCCCTTGTCCAGGTGATAGGTCACCTAGTCATAAAAGGAGATAAGATTGGTCAAGCAAGACCTACCCGCAACAAACCCGTGCTAGCTATCCCTCAGGGTGTTGCCGTTGGCCAGTCTGTTAAGAATGGCCTCTTTAATAATCTTTTCTAAGACCTTCCCCAGGATAGAGGTCAGGCTGATGGGCCTGTAGTTTGCCGGATCCACTTTCCTCCCTTCCTTGAAGATAGGCACCACATTGGCCTTCTTCCAGTCTTCGGGCACTTCACCAGAGCGCCAGGAGCTCTCGAAGATCTGTGCCAGGGGCTGGGCTATGATGCTCGCCAGCTCCTTGAGTACCTTTGGGTGTAGATTGTCAGGGCCAGCTGACTTGAAGGTATCTAGCTGATTAGGTTGTACCCAGTTACCAGTACCAGGTCAAGCAGCGCTTTACCTCTCATTGGCCTGTAGACCCCTTGGGTCAGATAGAGGTCATCCACGCAGGAGTGGAAGCTTTCCAACCGCTCGGATTTAGCCGAGCACTCTTCCCACAAGATGTCTGGGTAGTCTGGGTAGTTGAAGTCTCCCATGACAACTATGCACCTGGAGCATGCAGCCTCAGCCAATTCCCTGGCGAACTCCTGGTCAGCCAATTCCCTGGAGAACTCCTGGTCAAGCTCTTGACTTTGGGTGGGAGGTCTGTAGTAGACTCCCACCATTGTGTCCCCTGTGCCGTGTTCCCCAAGGATTTTAACCCAGAGGGTCTGCAGCCATACACCCTGGTCGCCAATGTCGGCTTGCAGGGATGCATAGTTTGAAATCCTTCCCATTGCAGACCTTTGATTAAGGTTAGAATATTTGGGTTGCAGAAATAAACTATATACATTATATGAACATTGCCCTTTAAGGCTATGTTAACTACTCCAATAACTCTCCTTCTGAGTATCCAGCAAGATCTCTGCAGCTGAGTCCTGCTCAGTCCACAACTGACACATCACGTCACTGCTGGGTCCTACTGCAGAACAACACGACTGAGCAGCACAATGCCCAATGACTAACAGAAACCGGCCTGTCTCTAGAATTCCTTATGTGGGGTTCAGCTTCTGTGCAGAGCTAGTGATACCTGGGACTGAGCGTCACACAGCAAAGCCCCACATGAGTTATCACATCCTCTGGTTCTGCACTTCCCTGGGTGTCACTGGAATTTCTGCATCCATGTCTCCTGCTCTTGTGCCTTAAAGAGCCGAGTCCCTCTATGATTCTTTGCCAGTGAATTGTGGGAAAGCCTGTCTGTCTGGAAGGAGGAATTATGGGAAGGTCCTGGAGGATGACTGGCACCCAAGCCATTTAGTCTGCATCCTCAGTGCAGTGAGTGGAGCTGAGGGAAAGCAGCACCTGAACCCCTAAGCCTCTACTCAACCCCACTGGGCCAGCTAGTCCAGGGTGGAAGTTCACCATATTCAAGTGAGGGCTGTGTGTGTGGACTGAAGAGGGGAAGGAGAACAGAGACAATCACCCCTGGGTGGGAGCCCAGCTGAATTCTGTAGAGAGCATGTCATTAGGGGCCTTATTTGCAAGTGAGGACACCAGTACTTCCCTACCTCCCACAGGTGTTGTGTGGAAAAACATATTAAAGCCTGTAAAGTTCTTAGGCACCACACCATAGGGCTGTGTTAGCACCTCAAACAGCCAGGTATACCAGTCTCCTCTTCTGGCCATTAGAATAAAACTGTTAAATTTGTGTTGGGGCTTGTGAGACCGCACCCTTCCCAAGAAGAGAAACCACCCAGCAGTTGCATGCAAATTCAATTTTATTGCTTTCTACACATACAGGTGATACAGATGCATACACAGTATGCAAACAGCCCACGTGGCCGGTCCCAGCAGCGGGAGAAACACACCATCCACAGTGAATGAAACTGCTCAGTAGAGAATAGTCCATTGTAATAATGAACACAAGGAAAGAGCAAATCTTACAGTCAAAATGTATAACATTGAACCACCAAACGTCACATGTACATTCTTTTCTCTTTAATATAAAGCATTAAGGCATCATTTTCCTAAACAGAAAAAAGCAGCAAATGGTAGAAATACTCCACATACTTTTATCTAATGGCCCTGTCTAGTCCTAATGAGTGAAACAAGGGGAGAGTGGCAGCTATGAAATTATCTTGGCTGCTGTACAAGCTGCAATCAGACAGAGAAAGTGAGATTTGGAACACTGTGCACCAACACCAAGTTAGTGGATTCATCCTACATTATGAATGAGTGGGTAAACAAGGCAAGGGGAGGAAAGAGGAAAGCTTTTACAGGCAAAAAAAAAAAAATCAGAGTGCTCTCCTATGGCAACTGCTATCTGTTACAATTTCACCATGACTGTAACACTGACAACATATAATCACCTACAAAAACCTCCTTCATTATGAAGACACGTGCCCCCAAATGGGGTGCCTTGCTGTGCCCTGCTATTGCTGACATCTGCACAGCTTCAATACCACTCAACAGAATACATGAACACTTTCCCGAGGATCCCATATGAGCCTGGAGAGTCACAAGTATTCCATTCTTTCCATACATAAATAAAAAACAGGGGAAATAATATTCCCTACAGTTGAGAGGATCAGGACTGGACTGTCAGATGCAGTCACCTCCTTCCTCTGGAATAAGAAAGGCAAATGTCCTGAGAGTCCAGTCTACCAGGGTCTCCAGAGAGTGCCGCTGTTTTTCAAAGACACTTGCTTTGGGGTGTTCTGGTTGGAGTGGGGGGAGACGCTCTCGGGAGCAACAATCTGACCCTTCTGGAAGTGGCTCAGGAGCTTGGTCTGCATTTCAATCTGGACTTTATGGAGAGACAGAAAGTGGAAGGCTTCTTGCAGGCACCTGGAGTAGCCTTCCTTGAAGTCAAACTGTGAGTTTTTATGGAAGGCTCCCACAGCTAGAGAAGGAAAGGGAGGGAGGAGAAAGAGACAGTGAGTTAGACTCAGTGTTCAGGTCAGGTCACTGTCCAGAGCTTCATGAAGCCTGGCAGGGCTGAGCACAGAATGAGAGAAACACCAAGCCCAATACTTACTCTTTATCTGTAGCTGGCTCTGCTGCTTCAGGTAGCTGACAGTCATCTCCAGGATGTCAGCTTTCTCCAGCTTGGAGTTGGGCTGGTGTCTCTGGAACTCCTTCTCCAGCAGGACTTTCAGCTGCTCGATGCTGCTGTTAATGCGATCCCGGCGCATTTTCTCCACCACCGGCTTCCTCAGCTGCAAAAGGACAAAAGATTTGCTTAGGAGACCTCAGGAGTACCAAAGTAGCATGGTCCAGATCCACAGCTGGCATATGCGGGCATCGAAATAAAGCCACAGTGCCTTGCACCAGCTGAGGATCATTCCCATCTGTTTCAGTGCGATTGTAAGCAGCACAGCCTGTGCCTCTACTTACTTTGTTTTTCTCTTTTGGCGTCAGCAGGTTGTTGTGCTCCATAAAAACAGTGCTTGGGGCCATCTGTCCAAGGGAGGAAAGTCTCTATAGTGCTGAAATGCAGTGGAAATGTGCTGCTGGAAGCTGTGTCTGCCTGATATTTATACTGAACAACCTCACTGAGAATCTGTGGGTCTCTGGCTTGGTTGAGTTTCCCACACTCCAGAGCCAATCAGAGAGATAGGCAGGACAATAGGAGAAGCATCTATTCCTGCATGCTCCATTGGCAGTGAATAGCCTAGGGATAATGACCTTCTCCCAGATGAGCAGGTGGAGAGTGTGGGGTACGTGGAAGACTGGGATCAGAATTGTGTGTCAGAAGCTGGGAAAGAGCTGGCCTTCAGTAAGAAAAGGCTGCTGACTAATGCCGCAGATCAATAGCATTCCGGGAGCGGACAATGTGGAGTTCACATCGTTTGTGGAGGTAGAGGCCACTGGCTGATGGCGGGAAATAAGGTAGTCTGTGTAGAGGAGTATGTGCATCTCTTCTGAGAACACACGCAGGCACACGCACACAGGCGGTACCCCCACTTGTGCATGCACAAGCACATGGGCACACACACGAGTGCTTTGCTAATTCCTCAGAATAAACAGGGAGATTTATCTTAATGACTTAACACCGGTTTTATTTTTCTACAAGTCGTTGATTCTGAAGTTCTCTCTCAACTGACATCAGTGGGAGTTATATCCAGGAACGGGTTTTATCTTCTGGCTTGGTGTAATCAATACATTACTCTGCTGGAAAACACAGCTATCTGGAGCTATCAGCTAGTGGTTAAGTGAAAGCCTGAAAGTCAGATCTGTACCCAGCTCTGCTCAAGTCTTGTGATATTATGCAAATAATGATATGATGCAAATAATTTTACATTGTTTGTCACTGCTTCTTCATGTGGGGAAATCAGATATAACACTACTGGACATATCTGCTTTCAGAGATATGCAAGAGGTATGAAACAGGAACTTTAGTGTGTGCTGGACATTGGGCAGAATACTTTTGCACGTATACAGCTCCCCCGCCAAGCACCTCAAAAGTATTCTGAGCATTTATTCAACCTCACAACATGCTCCCTACTTCCCCAACATGAAGCAGATTTTATTATTTTCATTGCATCTATGGGGAAACAGAGACACAGAGCAAGGTCTACCTGTAAGTCAGTAACATGGCTGCAGAGAACCCAGGAGTCCTGATACCTAGTTTCCAATTCTAGATTGCACCCCACACTAGGACTTGGTTCAATTGGCAGTCTCTGCACCAAGGGAGACCCAGAACTGGCAAAGGAAGGAATGCTGCTATTGAAGACATAATGATACGTTCTCAGGGCTGCACTTGGCCTGTCTGCATTCTGCCTGCCTCTGGGTCTATGCACGCATCACTCACTTCACTGAACTCTGAATCGACTAGCATGAAGATAAACAAGTGTAAAAAGGAAGCAGTCTGATTTCTGTACTGCTGGGAGGTCTAGAACTATGCAAAATCAGACCAATAGAAAGACTGCTCCATTTACATTGCCAGGAGGCATTACAGCATAGCTTGGGTGTCTGGAAACCAGATTTTCCAGAGTCTCTTCACTTTGCTTCTCCATGCCTCGATATCCCCGTCTGCGATGCAGAGACAGTAAAGTCCTGCATTCTTATCAAAATGATTACATCACCTAACATGTGTAAAGCACTGTCATATCCTTCAAAGGAATGGAAACAATGTTAAATCGAACTGTATCTATATTCATATTCCTTTTATGCATGTCTATACACATACAGGTTACATGTGTGCATGTTTTTTCATTGGCATACACATACATGCCAACGCATCTCTCTAGCTAATCGATCTCCCACTCATTTATTTTTTAAACCAGGTAAGGCTTAAGTGACCTCTTCCAGGATCTGCTTTTCCATCCCCCATTGTCCTGCCCTTGAATAGGCTCTTTTCTTTTGTACAGAACGGCAGCTGTTGAGCTCTGAGTCTTTTATGTCAAGTTGTGGGAAAGTTTTCGTGACACCATCTCACATGTTTCTCCCAAAGCTTGAGGATTATCTGAGCCTGTGTAATGCCACATCCCAAGCCCCACTGCCTGCTCCCCCGCAGCCCTCGCAGGGAGATCCTCTCAAACAGAAAGTCTTGAGCAGCAAACTTATTTCTCAGGCTAATTAATCAAAGACACGGGAAGAAATATGTCCCACCCAGCACAGGAAATGAACAGCTTTGGTTGTTTCTGGTTTGCAGAGGAGCTAAAAACATGCTACCAGAGGAGCCATACATTCTTCCTACTATATCAATCACATATATGCACATTCCAGGTTTTAATTAAACAGTGTCCTCAAGTCAGAACCCTCCTCACCCGACCAGCGTGTCTGCCATAAGAACTGGTTTTAGTGATCAGGTTTTCCGTGCTCATCCTTATTTGGTGGTACCTGGGTCCTATGAGTTTTCTTGACTAGTCACAGGACTTATTTTTGTGACAGATAAATGAGCTTTCCATTTGAAGAGATGTGCAGAGGCACAGCTGAGTTAGGCTGCATGTATCCATTCTCTGTCCCTGTTTGGGCTTCTGGGGGATGTCTCTGAATACATGCCTGTAACACAGGAAACTGCTGTTCAATTAGGTTTTCACTAGCCAAATCTTCCAAGCTGTTTAGCTTACTATCCAGGGGGAATAGTGTCACACTCACCTGGTATAAATCAGAGCACTTCTACTGAATTAGTGGAGCAACACTCATTCACACCAGCCGTCCCTCACATAGTGTTTTCAAGGCACGTGTCCTATACATATAATTTGCACACAGTAATTTTCCTTCAACACCACAGGATCCAAAGCAAACTAGACATTAAGGTCAAATTCTGCCGTACCATGATGATGCTCTAAGTCAGCAGTAATTTTGCTCAATTAAAAAGAACACATTTGGCCTCCCTAACAGCAAGCATATTACCTGTGTCCTCTTGCAGTCCATTAACTGCATGGGATGCAACTGCTGCATGTTCCCAAATGAGCTGCCAGTAAGTCCTGGAGGAAAAGTACCCTTCCAGTCATAAGTTTGGGTTTATTTTTCTGCAGATTTCAAACCTGAGGGACCTTCTCTGCTAGAGCCATTTGGTAACTGTAGGGCTGGGCACTGAGGCTAGGAACCAGGAGTTCATGAGTTCTGTCCTTGACTTCAACAGGCCCTAAGCAACTCAGTTAACCTCTCTGTGCCTCAGTTTCCCTACCTGTAAAATGGAAATGTTAGCAGTAATAATGCCACTGTTGTCTGTTTCAGTGAATTGTTTTGGGTTTATAATAATTTGCAAAGCAATGCGTGAGGGTAAAACACTGCAGAAATCTCCTTAGGTTGCCAGATTTTCCTTTGCTCTTTCCCCTCTCTCAGAACCACATCTTTTTTATCAGAAACACTAGGAAAAAAAGGTCTAGCCTCAGGGAAATACATTTTTTAAAACTGCTTGACTGTTTTCTCTGTGGATGTGCAACTGGTGAAGGTCACTCTCTCATGACACAGACACAAATTACTCTAGCTTCAAAATTTTGTTTGGAAACCCCAAAGAAAAGCAACGAACCAAATTCACTCCTTGTGCAAGACCACTGGAGATAATGGAGGTACATCAGGGGCAAGGACTTCGGCATTAAGTAATGATCCAACACCAGTGATTGCTTTCCACTGGATCGTGTACACCAGAGGCAATGGAGGAGAGGGGCTGGGTGGAGAGGGAGACAAGTTCTGGCCCTAAGAGCCTAGCTCCAGGTACCATGCCTGCAGTGTGAAGCTGATAAGAGGCCTCCTCCTAAACTTCTGCCAGATGTTACTTTTTCAAAAGACTTAAAGGAGCTGTGCTTTCCCAAGTCTTCAGAGCTAGTCACTGCTCCCATTGCTTCCCTTCGGGTAACTGCTACCCAGATGGCCTTTTGGGAGAAGGGTTTCCCACTGAACACAATGCAAAGTCAAGCACCATCGCTAATGTGGTTTGTAATCAGGCACACTTCCTTTGTGAGGGGAATGAATATCGTTAAGAAATGGTGTGGGAAACTGGGAGACATGCACACTTCCACAGCCATATGGTAATCAGCCACTTACCGTGCTAGGATGCTCAGGAGAAAGAGAGAAGACAAGATGATGCCTGAGGGATGGAAAAGGCACCAAGACCCTGGGATATTTTCACACAGTTAGCCCTGAACACAGTGAGACCTTGCTGCGGGGAATGGCAAACAGGGCCAAACTCTGATACCTTCTCATCGGTGAAAGCCTTAGTGAAGCAAATGGGAATTTCAGCCCATGTAAAGCCTGAGCACGACTCCTGGATTTGACCCTTATACGTTGCATTTCCAGGGATATAATCTGCTCTCATACTGAATCTATACTGATACTCATACTGAATCATACTATCTATAATCTGAATCTATACTAGAGATTCAGCTCTTCAGTAAAATCATCCACACTTACACCAGCAAAACTAAAAATCCATGTTTGGGATTGGGCCTGATTAGCATTTTCACTGGTATCCTCTTCCATCCAAACAGCTCAAAGCACTTCAGAAGCAGTAACAAGGCAAATAAGGCAGGGAAACATCCCTTTCTACAGCTGGGATAACTGTGGACCTGAAAAGCTACAGCCCTATTTTTCTTGTGCGCACTTACCACACTAGTCTGAATACACACTAGAGGCTTGCCACATGCAGGTAACCACAAAGATCCCTCCAAATATGGCTTCTTTCACACAGTAAAGCAGAAGAGTAAAACAGGCAGAGAAGTGAGCGTCTAGTCCCCCGTCACTTTCAGAGGTCATGTTGGATATGATAGCAGATGGCAACGCACCCATCTCCAATGGCCCTCAAAGCCACCTTTCTTCCTTGCCACAGAGGTGTGAAACCCCACCAACCAGGCCACAGCTCCCATTGCCCACACATGGTAACCACTTTGCTGCAGGTCACAGAGCCTTGGTGCATCTGGGGTCAGGGCAGTTTTGCATCGGCAACTTCCCCAAAAAGGTGACTCAACTTGATCATATTTACAATGTCCTGTGGTTTTGAGATGTCTGGGAGTGAAGGTAATCAGCAGTCTCACTGGACCACAAAACAGAGA